AGTCCTAATCATTCTGAGTCCGGTACATCTCGAGACCAGTTATCAGATCAATGGTTTCTACGGGCGGCTCTCATATCTTGTGTGACCGAACACAGTCGGGGAGCGACGGACTCCTGTCTTTCCTTGTGATTCGCTATTTGTTTCACGCAGCAGTTATTGAAATGAAACATCCAGGTGTACACAGCATGGATGAACTACACGCCTGCACATGGGCGCGAACTCCTGAGTCCCAAAAGAACACCCTGACTGTACTCTCTCTGTTACACTTATGTCCTTGAAATTTTCATGCTTCTGTTTAATTAATCAAATTTTCGAATCCTTGTATGACTTCTACAACTAATATAATGTTCCTACTAGCCAAAATATGAAATGCACGAAGTAGCGGATTTGGATTAATCTTGAAACGAGAAACCCAGTTTGATGGAAAAACATGTCGGACTCGAACCACTGTCCTACCGTTTATCAGACGGGCGCTACCAAAGCCTCTGTCTGCTCATCACACTTGCGCTCCCTTCCATTCCAACTCTATCACATTCGATTACTAATTCCTTTGTAATGGAATGAGATTACAACAAAAAGACATCACAAGCGAGAGATTCAGCTGGGTTCCAGGTGAGTCTCTCGAAAAACCAAATTAGTTTGCAAATGAGTGTATATTCGCTAATTTCGTGCAATTTGGTTTCAAGTAGAACATGAGTTTGACGGAAACCCGGGGACTGCGCCTACATGATGAGCCCCAAAAATGGCGAAACCGGTCGTGGACTGTCGACGGATTTTCAGCAACCTTATGAGTAGTACATTGCAAACTTTTGAGTACGTTAGCTTAGTGGTGATGATCACTGACCAAGCTTGTGTGTGGATTGACTAATAGATCGCAATTGAAAACTCCTGACATAAATAAAGACACTATAACACTGACTTCCATCAAGAGCTTTAGGATGCGTTTGGATTGGTGAACTTTGATTAACAGCTCATCTGTGATTGGTTAGTTTTAATTGTCCACACCTCGCCAAGTTCGGTCCATAAGTGCGGTAAACCAAGCAGTCATGACCTTAGTCCAAAGAATGAATATTCTAGCATGCACATATAGAGCTGTTAGTCTGGGTTGACGAGGATTGTACCAAGGTTAAAATGCTACATCTTGGGTGGCTCACACCACTTGCCAACAAAGGCAGAATTCGGCAGCATTCCTGATAACTAGGATCCCCCATTTGCTCAAATCAAGATACGTTAGGGATATCATCTCTATCGAGTAATTCATGAGAATGTAAGTAGTTTATCCCGGTGCAGTGATCTTCTGTCGTTAGGGAGGGAGGTGCACTTTCATTTGAATTCCTTCAGTCGCCAGCAAGGCGTTACGGATGGATAAGAAACGGCTAAGTAAAAGTGAGTTCACTGCCTACAAAACGGTAGTGTATAAAACGACAGAATATACGTTATCACCACGTCGCTTTTTATTTGTAGACAGCCTTTTACCCCCAATATACTTGGTAAAAACGTTGTCAGTCCCCCAGACACGTTTTTGATGGATTTCCAGGCAAAAGTAACCCATTATCTGCAACAAGGTCGCCCTTCAAATCCAGCTGCCAACCCTCTACCAAAATGTGAGCGAAATTCACAACAAAAATACCAGTGGAATTTCGATAGCGAACAAACAAGTTGTTTGAAAACGCCTACGTATGTTTATTTTGGCTGTCTGTTACTTTCCATACACACACTCGTAGTCTCTTTCTATCAGTCCCCTAGTTCTTATACTCCTGGGTTCACTATTATGTTTAACCTCCACAACTGATACACATTTTATGAAGACATTTTCATCGAGTGCATTGTGTCAGCTGATCGACTGAGTGGTAGCCTCATATTCGGATCACATGTCTCCGAGTGGAGCGGTATCCTTTCCTTCATAGTACACCGTTTGATTTTTTTGAAAAATACAATACTGCTGAATACTTGGTAAGTCTCTTGCACTTCGTTACATTTTGGAAATTTGTTTAAGGAGTTCACATTTAACTGGAACTCAACTGCCTCGAGCGGAAATCGTATGATACGGCTGGCGTTGGGCAGCCCTCAAACCGCCAAAGGTAATCCTTTTCAAGGCTGGTTTTTTGTATCCGCGAGGCCGTAAAATATGAAAGAATTTCTTGTACTGAACTACTGTTTAGCTGTGTGTTTTTTCGAGCTTGAGTGCCGTAAAATATGAAAGCACTTCTTGTACTGAACTACTGTTTAGCTGTGTGCCTTTCTTCTTGCTAGTCGAGTAGCTAAAACGTCTTTCAATCATTTAGCAAACCTGTTACTAGAAGCACCGGTGTTCTGCAGGATTTTTTTAGAAACTGTAATTCGTCTCGTACACGACTCAGGTCACCAACTCATGTAGTTGAACCATAAAAACAACTAACTGGGTTCGAGAAATATACTCATTTGCCAATCAATCTGGTTCTAACGAGAGACTTAACTGAATTCTCGAAAACAGCCCAATTTGGGTTCACGTGGAACATAAGGTTGACGGAAACTCGGGAGCTGCGCCGAACTGATGAGCCCGAAACAGAAGGGCGAAACCGGTCGTGGGCTGTCGAAGAGTTTTCAGCAAACTTGTGAGTAGTTTCCTTTATGAAAATATACTGCGATATCTCGAATATCGTGTCCAGTGAAACATGAGGCGGTCTGTGTGCGGCACATTCAGTTGTAGAATATCATAAACGAGCGATTCAGTTGAGTCTGTCGTGTGAACCACATTGATTTGCAAATGAGCGTATTTCTCGAAAACAATTCAACTTGGGTTCAAGTAGATCATAGGGCTGACGGAAACTCGGGGACTGGGCCTACCTGATGAGCCCGAAACAGAAGGGCGAAACCGGTCGTGGACTGTCGAAGACTTTTCAGCAACCTTATGAATCGTTTCCATTATGAAAACTAAATGGGTTCTCCTGTGGTAAAAAAAAAGTGTACTCGAAGAGCCATAGAAACTCGATGCCAGGTGCAGAGCTCCCAAATGTCACGTGTCTCCGTGCTGCGAAAATCAGCAGGTTTTTCATCCTCAAGCCGACGGACTATTGACCCGGATTTTGACAAGACCGCCGACGTTGCTAATTAGACTTCTGATTTTTTTTAACCAAACTGACATAAAACGAAAGAATTTTACCCCGGCAAAGGCCGTCAAAGCTATTTTGTCTGGAATTTTCATGAGAGCTGTTCAACCTGGTTTCTGATAACGATATTTCTTGGAATATCATGCAGTCTATAGACAGCTAGAAGGAGAGCCAATGAAGTGTAGAGCAAACATGATACCGTCTGAATAGTTACGTAAAAGCTCTCCGAAAAGTCCTCTCATCCATATAACTGCTCCCGTTTTCATGTGACCGATATATACAAAAATTGTTCAGCTGTAACACCCTCGCGGTGCTTAGTTCCCATGCCATCCCAAGGAAGCACGAGGGCTGCTCCCATGCCATCCCAAGGAAACACGAGGGCTGGGATATTGCCAGGTTGCCCAAGTCTAGACAGGGGAAGTCGAGAGGCAGAGGTCGGGTTCGAACCACGGACCTCCCGGTCAGTAAATTTGCGCTCTAATGACCTGAGCCATCTCGCCTCGCATTGATATGGTAATATTTAAGTAAACCAGTCAGTTTGTCTTAGAACTTGTCGTGAAATAACTGTTCTAGTGGTTTCGATAGATTGTCTGAGTGAAGATCCCGTGAGGTGGAAACAGTAACAGCACCGTACCACCACCGATCTTCTCAACTGCGAACCACGTGCACAAATATATTACGCACTTGAAACAGACGCAAAAGAGGGGAGCGTGCGAACCCACTGACCGTACGGTTGTTCAAGGACCTACGACTCCAAAACGGATTTGGCGATCGTTGGGAAAAACTAGATAAAATAAGCTCTTTTTTGGGCTCATCAGTCCACGAATTGCTGCAGGACGTGATTAACGAGGGATTCAGATGGCTTTTGGGTGAGTCTCCTGTCAAAACCAAATTGATATTGAAAAGAATGCGTCATCCAAATTCTTGGAACTTGCTATCTTTTTCTAACGGGACCTGTCACCCGCCCTTCATCCACTAGGGAAGGGATTAACCGGAAAATGTGTGCGGGATGTATACAATTTTAAACATTACTTACCTTTAGTATTTACGCGGGTCTTTATAAAACGTATGAATGCAGCTATTCTAGAACAAACAGCTTTCCGAATAGCTTCCCAAAATCATTCATAGGGAAGCTTCTCATGCCAGCTTGCTGTACGCAATGTGGATCCGAATATACGCTCCTGTTAAGAAGAGTAAGTGAACTTGGTGCAATAATTGTTGAACATATCTACCGGGTCCGCTACGTCCTGATGCTTAAAATATTAGTTCAAACAGTGGAAGTATCATCTTTGTCGTATCGCCACCCCTCTCCCTCCCCAATGTGTTTTCAGTGCATTTTAACCAACCAGAATCCTATTAATGAAGTTATAGATCGATGCCCTTGACCAGAGACATGTTCTCGGTTTTCGGTCAAACAGCCAGATTTGCCATCATTTGTCACGTGGTGTCAGTAATTTGGCTGGGTTTCGTTAGTATGCTGTTGAGCTGTTTGAGGAGAGATTATCAGAAGCGGATATTCCCTTCCGAGCTGTTGGCGCTGGGCAAGTAGTTAGATTATGTCTTCAAGTATGAATGTTCGTTGTACCCGTCTAAAAATATAGTTGCCATGCGAAATGTTCTGGGTACCACTGTTTCTGGCCAAGGAATTGGGCTATTTTAAAGTGATTCGTTGCACTTAACTATTCTGTCAGAAAGTTTCTATTCCGATTAGTATATCAAAGGCAAAAAAATACATTGAGATAGCCTGGCTTGTTTTTTTTTCATCATCAGAACCTTCGTATGCACTAGTCAAAACGAGTTCTGGAGACTTTGTTGTAGGAACTTGCGCATTTTATTGTTCAATTAGACATAGTAACATCTAGAAGCTGAACTGAAATACAGGTGGTGAAAAAATATAAACAATCGGCATCACTAACTTCTTAGTGAACCGTTCTGGAGGGATCTTTTCCAAGGGGCTGGTGAATCGTTGACTTTTGAGGACACGGGATGAAGAGGAGGAAGTGTGTGAACTGGTGGATGCATCAGTAGTTCGTAATCCATACTGAAATGCTTCGAGGCCTCTGGAATATCCGCACTTGGTTCGGTAGTGGCGGTGAGATTTTGCCAATAGGGACCGTTTTCGATGGTATCCATTAACGAAGCACCACCAAATGAATATCTGTTTCTCATCGGCTCAACTTTGGGATAGACCGAATCAAATTTAGTTAGATATCGCATTCGGGATAGTGCATACTGACTGCTGGTTCGAAATGGTGGTTCGGGATAAAAACTGTGTTCACCTGGTAACTGGTGACGTCGAAGACTTGAGTAAATCGCAGTCTCAGCATTGAGTTGGCTAAAATCCGTCTGACTACCTATACTCCGGCGGTGAGGTTCCGCTCGTCGAGTCCGCTGATTCTGAATGGTCTGGTAATATCTGTTTCCACGAACGTTTCGATCTTTCAAACTGTGTGCGCTTCTCGAGTGCAACCCTCCCCCGCGTAGACTATTCCACGATCCTCTTGACCCGTTCAGCAGAGAATTAAACAGCGTACCGGAAGCAACTCTTAGAGAGCTGCCAGGTGGCTTGCTGATATCACTGTTGCTTGAATTTATACTCACATCCTCTATGGATGATTGCTGTGTTGCACAGACTATTGGCAACCATCTCGGTAGCGGCTTTTGATGATGCAAACGCCGTGTACACCAGTAAACAATACCCACAATCAACAGAATCACAATTGTCAATAAGGTACACCAAACACTCAAAAGAATCAAAAGCGATGGACTATATGTGGTATGTTGAACAGCGGCGCCTTCCGTATTGCGATGGCTTGGTCTGCTGGCGGTCGTACCAGTGAGGCTGGAATAGCCATAATCATCCCAAAAGCTTGAACATCCTGGGGCCTCAGACAATTTTGGACATGTTTGAGGAAAGAGTATACTAAATCCAACTGGTCTGCCCCGGTTCTCTCTCATACTCAAAGTTTGTGGAGATTGTAGTACAACAATCAAATGTGTTGCTTCGGTGGAATTGACTTCCACACACTGATGACACCTGGTTTCTAAATTGAAGCTAATGGGTGCATCGGGATCGACGGGTTGTAGTCTAATATACATGGGTATATTTCCCGATGTTCGCCTGTCCGACTCTATCCCGTTCGTTTCACTCTCCCCGATCCAAAGCACTGGGCTTCGGCCACTCTCGATTTCGAACGCTCGTAAATGTTTCAAAGCTAACAAGCTATCTGGATGCATTTGTACCGTGTTTATCAAACGTACCTCGGTGATAACTGTTTCCAAACCTTGAAATGCGCCGGCCTCCAGACGAACCATGTTCAAATTCAGGTAGATGGAAAGCTGCCCAGCACTGGTTGGCAGCTCTTCACCTGGGTTTAAGAGTTTTGCCACAGCGCCTGTTTCGATACCACGAACGGATTCGCGGTTCCCCAGGATAATCTCACCTCTTCCTTTATACTGGCGACATTCGATAAATTTAATTTCCTTTTTTTCTTCCTTTCGCATTTCGCTCGGATGTCGGACGCAAGCGACCATCTGGTTATCGGGAGGACGAAGAAAACAAAACATGGGACACGGTGTTGAGGTGTTTTGATATGTGACGTAGGAAGATCTGGATTCGTCTCTTGTATCGAATGTCCCCACTCGATGATCGGATAGGCGACGCTGAATTTTTGAAGCTCCAGAGACATGGTTAATGATTTGGTAATTGAAAAACAGATCAGTTCCAAACAATATCCAGGTAAACACCAGTGGAAATCCAGACATCAGCAGATTACGACTTTGGTAAGGCACGTGTCCATGCTTGTCACACAGCTTGCTATGCCGATGTGATCCGGAAACAGCTGTCGCAGATCTGAATGACAAAACGTTTGGTGGTGCTGAACGTCCATTGGTTGATCGCTTCAGCCAATAGCTTGGTCGGCGTTGGTGGCCTTGGTCAACCAACCACGGTCGGCACCATGAATTTGTGGACACGAAGGCTGGTGGGTGAATTTCACCACAGTATGTGCGAAGGTGCGTATAAGATCTGAGACCAGGTGGGGTTGTAGTCCAAAGAGTAAAGTAGATTGGATAAATTCTACCTAAACACTTACTCATCTGCATACCAATTTAGTTTTGGTGGAGGCTCACATGGAACTCAGCTGAATCTCTCGTTTATACTCAAGGTCTCACCTATCGAAACTCGCGTCAGTTCGTGCGAATTAATCAAAAGAAGATCTCATAAGAAATCATTTGGCAGGTTTCGATTAGATTCCTCTTCAGAGACAAGCAAATTATATCTGCTTTTGAGAAAACAAGTGTGAATACGCCCAAAGAAATATCTGAAGGAAGCATCTGGATTTATGAATGAACCCTAAGACTAGCGTTTTCCCAAGGTGAAGACTTCTCACTGGGATTCGCACTGCCGAACTATCAACTCACTAGTATGGCCATGATATATATATATATGGACTCTGTATTTTTCAACCAGACGTTAAATTTTCCACACTCGCATTCGCTTCCAAATCCTGTAATTCGTACAGTCATCGCAACCTACCATTTTTCTGCACCAAACCACCCGTACGACGAAAATGCTTTGGTTTTTTGGAAAGTAAAGAGGAAAGTAGATGACGTTATCTAAATAAATACACACTCATTCAAGTTACTGGGTAAACAGTGGACGCTACTGATGAGGAATGCGTGTAGTATGCTTTCTCCTAAATCCGCTTTGCGTCTATTGAAAAGTGAGATCTCTCACGGACTTTGTGGAGTAGTTTTGTAGCATATGTTTGCATTTGAGTAACAGTCAGTGAATATCCAGAAACGTTCAGGAAGACGCGTTCAAGGAGAATATGGATATTCAGTTTTTGCAAACAAGATGCAAGCATATGCTTCCCTGTCCAGTAGTCTGTAACTGTTCTAGTTGGCATTTTCTAACAGATAACTCCGCAGCAAAGGCCTTCTTTCTTTCACTGGTATGACAATTTTTGCCAGCGTAAACTTACCACAAAACTTTTGTTGTTCAACTTGAATTTTTGGGTTTTTAGCGCGACACAAAATTTGAGACTTATTTAGATGAGAAAAAGAGAAAAGTTGTCTTCATGTTCCTAATGGACTGAAATTTTGACCAAAATGGTATTTGTGGTCTGATCGTGGTGCTGAGACCACTTAAACCCTATTATTTTACGGATGAAACCATCTTTGAGTCCAGGAATTATCAAGACTCAAAGAGGACAGCAAAACAGCCGATTATATGCACATATGTGTGACGCAAGGCCGTTTCACAAGACTATCGGTAGGAGCGTATTGGTTCGAATGAACATTTCATCGTACTGGGTTGAATGCCATTAGCTTTGCCTCGTCTTTTCAACATTCTAAGCGTCTTTCAACCCAAATTCATCTAACATGACCATCAGGTTCTGCCTTCGTTTCTTCTAGAAAGCAATCAAAACAACGTGTTTTGGCTTGCAATGATTGGCGTTCACCCTACCGACCGAGAAAACGTGATAGATCACAGATAGTACATGCATGCCAAATAGCAACTCCATTCGGAAACTTTTATTTGCTTCAGCCCAAAGATGACATGATGTTTGTTTAGTGAAAACAAAAGTCAACAATGAATTGGCTCAATGGAAGACCGTCGCGCAAACCATCCTCAGCAAAGTACGACTGTATCACGAAAGCAGTAGTAGTGTACTCACCACTGACGATCGATCCAGGTTGTGAATAACTTTCATCACACTGGTAGTCAAGTCCGCGGCCAGCGAAGCAAAGATGGTCCGCCAACGAGCGACACTCGAGAGGCGAACAGAACTGAAATAAGTTGCAGTAATCTTAGTTCAAGCCCACCAGGCAGGCCGTTTGATGAATATCTAATAAACATTCCTCAATCAATGGGTGATTCTACGCAGTTACAGCATGCCACAGCACGGCCGGATAATCTGATAGTTATCATTATTCAAAGTTTGTGATGCTTTGCTTTTGTTTTTTCTGCAGCTTTTTTGGAATATGAACGAGAACAACTGGCAAACATGTGTAAGTGTCCTCATTCGGATGAACCACATTTCACCAAAAAACTATTTTTGAGTGGTCTTTTGAAGCTTTTGTTGAGTTGTGGAATCCCCAAATCGGACAGAGAGTCAGTTTTCAAAACTAATTCCAGTCTAAGATGGGACTAAAACTTTTTCACAGTTAACTTGAAACTAAGCATTTTGGTATTCCCAGATATTGTCCCGTGTAAGCTCTCCAGACCGTCATTGAACAGCCATCTCGTGAGCTCCTTTTTACGCGAAGACACGGGTGAAATAAGGCGATAGCCGTAACCGATTGCCTTCTCCTAAGCGCACCTGGAATTAGTGTAAAAGTTTCTGTATTTGACTTATATCGATCCGCTAAAAAGCTCTCNAGAAAATGTGATAGATCACAGATAGTACATGCATGCCAAATGGCAACTCCATTCGGAAACTTTTATTTGCTTCAGCCCAAAGATGACATGATGTTTGTTTAGTGAAAACAAAAGTCAACAATGAATTGGCTCAATGGAAGACCGTCGCGCAAACCATCCTCAGCAAAGTACGACTGTATCACGAAAGCAGTAGTAGTGTACTCACCACTGACGATCGATCCAGGTTGTGAATAACTTTCATCACACTGGTAGTCAAGTCCGCGGCCAGCGAAGCAAAGATGGTCCGCCAACGAGCGACACTCGAGAGGCGAACAGAACTGAAATAAGTTGCAGTAATCTTAGTTCAAGCCCACCAGGCAGGCCGTTTGATGAATATCTAATAAACATTCCTCAATCAATGGGTGATTCTACGCAGTTACAGCATGCCACAGCACGGCCGGATAATCTGATAGTTATCATTATTCAAAGTTTGTGATGCTTTGCTTTTGTTTTTTCTGCAGCTTTTTTGGAATATGAACGAGAACAACTGGCAAACATGTGTAAGTGTCCTCATTCGGATGAACCACATTTCACCAAAAAACTATTTTTGAGTGGTCTTTTGAAGCTTTTGTTGAATTGGACAGAGAGACGGTTTTCAAAACTAATTCCGGTCTAAGATGGGACTAAAACTTTTTCACAGTTAACTTGAAACTAAGCATTTTGGTATTCCCAGATATTGTCCCGTGTAAGCTCTCCAGACCGTCATTGAACAGCCATCTCGTGAGCTCCTTTTTACGCGAAGACACGGGTGAAATAAGGCGATAGCCGTAACCGATTGCCTTCTCCTAAGCGCACCTGGAATTAGTGTAAAAGTTTCTGTATTTGACTTATATCGATCCGCTAAAAAGCTCTCTTCCTGCTTAAATCCATAAACTTAGCTCGAATAAATGAGTGCCGTTTGTGGCGATTTCAGAACATTACCTGAGTACTGCCAACACACGAAACGCGGGAATTTGTTTACCGCCTACAAAACCTACATCATATTACACAAATACTGCTCAAATATGTTCAACATATATCTGAATGGGTGTTCACGGTCTGCGCTAAAATATGAGTCATAATCACTGAGGCCAGAACGAGTAGGCACACCTGAGGACGAGCTCCACTCACCGACTTCCCGTTCACCAACTGGACAATCAAGGACGCTTGCGCTTCGTAAAGCCCGCATACCCAGACTTCACATCAGATTCGTCAGATCTCCACTTGATGGAACGAGAACCGATATCTGTCAGCGCAGTTATTATGTCCCATGCGTAGGTCAGACTTTGAGGCCCACTGTAACTAACCATCGGGTCAAAACAGTTACCTCTGGCAGACATTTTTATCTAAAACACTGAATTCCAATGATACGGTTGGTTGAAACAGAGAGAGGATGTATTACGAGATACAGTCAGTTCGGAAATATCCACTATCCGTTAGAATACATAGCTCGAAATTCGGGGCTTAAGTGGACTCATTTTAGTCCAGAGTTAGGATCACGTTGTCTGTCACTTGCGCTGCCTAAATATGTCCAGATATACTTTCATGAAGGAAACTACTCATAAGGTTGCTGAAAACTCTTCCACAGCCCACGACCGGTTTCGCCCTTCTGTTTCGGGCTCATCAGGTAGACGCAGTCCCCGAGTTTCCATCAACCTTATGTTCTACTTGAACCCAAATTATTCTGTTTTCGAGAAATACACTTATTTGCAAATCAATTTGGTTCCCACGAGGGACTCAATCGAATTCGTCGTTTATGCTGTCCTCCAAGTAAATGTGCTGAACACAGGCAGCCTCACGCTTCTGGTG